GGGGGAGGTCAAAGAGATGACAGGGAAATAAATGATGAGTGAAGACTTCAGGAATTTTAAGTGACTCGTTACTAAAAACATTAGCTGCTCCTTAAAGCTTTATGTCCACGTCTTCCTCTGGCCTCATGGCCGCACAGCAAAGTGAAGGAGGAGGATCTCCTGTCCTGCCCGCGAACAGCGGCTTGGAGCCAGAACCCCAGCAGCCTGTCCCATCAGTGTGAGAGTGAAGGGCTGGGGGAGGCTCACGTTTCCAAAAGGGATGCCAACCACCGCCCCCCCGCCCCAAAACCCCAGCAAACAAATTCCAAATGGGGGTTAAAAACAACGAACCGGCAACTGTGTCAACACGGGCGCTGCTATCCGGGACACATTCCGGAAGCCAGACACACGGATCAGCATTCCGCCGTAAATCCCGCACAGGCGCCCCCCCCCCCCCCCCCACGACTGACCGACGTTCTGATCGGTCAGAGAAGGAGCCGGACCGACTCCACAGAGTCACTTTCATCATAACAATCCAAAGATCTCGGGACGACCCCGACAGACAGAGGGCAGGGTCACATGACTGACACAGAGGTCACATGGCTGACACAAAGCCCCGCCTCCCTCTTCGGGTGGAGGGTACATACCTCTGGTGCTAGGTACTCGGGCGTGCCGCAGAAGGTCTTCATGGTGGCCCCGTCGGTGATGCCCTCTTTGCACAGGCCGAAGTCCGTGATTTTGATATGGCCGTCCTTGTCCAGCATGAGGTTTTCCAGCTGGGCAGAGACACAGGCATCAAATCAGCATCAGCTACCCAGATCCACTGGAGTGCTTGGGGGGGGGGGGGGCTTGGGGGGTGCGCAATGTGTGGCCTTTGGTCCCACGGTGCCCCCTGGCAGCTGCAGCACACAGCGCCCCACATCCCACACAGTCAGCACATCATTTCGATCCTGCTGCCCTGGCACTTTCGGAAGAACCTTAGCAGACCGCCCCCCCCCCACCTCCACCCTGCCACCCCAGGGAGATGTGCATTTGTGGAGGGGGAGCAGGGGGTAACGGTTTTGTCAGCTGGAGGAGAGCGATGCCTGGCCCCCCCACCCCCAAAAAGCTGCTTGGGTTTCACTTGTGAACATGTTTGAAGGTCCTGCAGAAGACCTGAAGCCTCAGTTTTACCCCATTACCCCACCCCAGCCACCACCTCACCTTCAGGTCCCTGTAGACCACATTGCGCTCGAAGTGCAGGTAGTCCAGCGCTGAGACGATCTCCGCTCCATAGAAACAAGCGCGCTCCTCGGAGAAGACACGGTCCCGAGAGAGGTGGAAGAAGAGCTAGGACAGTGGGGAGGGGGGGTGTCATGTGTCACAGGGGTCTGGGTTTTCCAAGTCCTTAATCCCCGCCCCCCTCGTATTGCCAAGACTCACCTCTCCACCGTTTGCATACTCCATGACGAAACACAAGCGGTCGTGGGTTTGGAAGGAGTACTTCAGTCCCTGGGGGGAGGGGGGGGGCGTGGTGTTAAACATTAGGCTCAACTCACAGCACTCAGGCTCGCAAATTAAACTGCAAACAGTCCGGAGACACTACACCAGATCAAGGGGCGTGAGTGACGTACGGCTGATGAACACTACAGATTGGATCACTACTCCCCCTCCCTACTTCTGCAGACAGCCTAAGTGCCCAAGCCCCAGCACTGCATTCGGGACACACTCAGCTGCAGCCCACTGCCCGGCAGCCTCACAGGGTTTGGAATTATGGGAAAGCTGCCGTGGCAACAGAGAAGTGGCGCGTTGTCCCGGGCACTTCAGACAGATGATGTGGGCACAGGGATATTGTGAGCCTTTGTGGAGCCTGGCAGCGAGGGGGAGGGGCCCGTTCTGGTCCCCTCTGAGGCCCGCGTCCTCAGCCAGGTTGGGCTGGCGCCTCAAGCCCATTCAGCGGGCCGCCACGATTGCTGTGGAGTGTCCAGACAAAGGCACTCTCACCGTCAGGAAGGGGTGCTTGGAGTTCTGCAGCACGCGGTTCTCCGTCAGCGTGTGTGCAACTTCATCCTGGAGGAACCACAGAGAGCGTTAGTCTGGACGCGCACAAAAGAGGGGGCCTTCGGAGGGGGCCAAGATGGCGACTCCCCCCCTGCTCCCCCCCCCCCCCCCCGTAGACTACTCACTTTTGCCACGATCACTTCCTTCTTCAGGATCTTCATGGCGTAGTAGCGCCCTGTGGCCTTCTCCTTCACCAGGATCACTTTGCCAAAAGTGCCTTTTCCCAGCAGTTTGAGGTATTCAAAGTCATGCATAGTCTGGGAAAAGGAAGACGGACAAAGGGTCGGGTCTTATCCAATCAAAATGCAGCCTTAAAGACTATCAGCATCACAGAGGTTTGAATTTGGTTCAGTTACAGCTGAAGCCACCATATGGGGGGCGGGGGGGGGGGATGTACCACTTTGAGTCGAGGTTTGGTCAGGTACATCTCCATGTCCATGGGGTCAGGAGAGGAGTCCATCATCTCCTCCTCCTGCCTCTGCAGGCCGTCCGCCACGGTCTGGATGGCTTTGGTCCACTCCTCCCTGGGGGGGGGGGGGGGGGGGGGGGGGTGTGGGTGGGGGGGGGGGGGGGGGGGGG